CGCCCTAAATTAATTTAGGTTACAGTATTAGAAGTAGAGGAGGCATCTAAGTTACTAAAGGGCGCTAGCCTTTTTACTAACCTGCATATATAGATACTATAGGATAAAGTAGTATTAGAAGATAAGATATACTAAGTGCATCTTAATACAGTTTAGAAAGGCGCTAGGTCTTTCCTAGTTCTAGCTAATATAAAGTAATAGATTAGGGACTATATAATTAGTGTATATAGTACTTTACTTTAAAGGGGCGTTATTTAGTTGCTAATATAGGAACCCCTTATAACTACTATTATATAGTAAGTATATAAATTAGGTTTAGTAGAATATTTTAGAAAGAATATAATATTTTAAATACTACACTATAACTATTATTAGGATAGAATATTAGGAGATATTATATAGTATATTTAGAACTACTATTATTATAGTACTTATATCTCCTAGAAGCGCTAATAGGGTCTATTATAACCTATACTAGTTACGTTATAATACTAGTCCTAAATATCTATAGATTTTATAGTTAACCTACCTATAAAAGATAATAGTAAACCTTAGTACCTATTAGTTATTACTAATAGATTATCTAAATATATTTAGCTTAAAGTAATAGTCTCTATAGTAGCTAATTATTATATAAGGATCTTCTAGGATAACTAGTAGTAGTTCTAGGGCTTCCTATTCTCTATTATTACTAACTAAGGCTCTAACTAGTTAGGATCTTTCTAGATAATATTATACTAGATAATAAAGATAAACTAGTTACTATCTACTATATACTACCCTTAGATAGATAGTAGGATAGAGTAGGCAAACTAAGAAGTATAGGTAGTGCTGCGTATAATAGTATACTTTAAGTAGACTAACTAGCCTAACTACCTGCTAGCCTACTAACTTACACTTAATAATAGGGACTCTAGTATAACTAGTATTAGCCTAAATCTACTTTTAAATAGGTATACTATAGACACACTATAAAAGTTAATATTACTACTAGTAAAGCCTAAGAATCCTTATAGAGAGGCTATAGCGTTCTTATTATACCTATAGAGGGGTGTAGAGCTAGTATAAGCTACTATTATATTCTAATAGTAATAATAATAGGAAGTAATAAACTAGTCCTAATACCTAGCTAAAAAGTTCCTAAAAGGTAATATAGTTTAGTTTATAATATATAATATAAAGATAAACTAACTAAGTAAAAAGTTTAACTAGCTATAGGTAAAGTATAAAGTAATAGAAGTTCCTACTCTACTTATAGTAGTATTAGACTTACTAGGGAGCTTATATAAGACTATATATATAGATTTACTAGAGAGAGCTACTAATAACCTGCTATTAAGCTAGAAGCTTTAGGACTTATAACTAGGCCTAATAGTTACTCTAGAAAATAAAGATATAATACTAGATAAATAGGAAGTAGAAGAGATCCTTTATATAAAGAATATAAAAAGAAAAGGGAAGTGTTAAGTCCTAGTAAAATAGAAGGGGTATATTAATCTAATATAGCACCTGCTAGAGGTAGTATAGGATACTAAGGCTCTAGATAGGTTTAAGGAATAGTATAGAGATACTATATATAATAATAGCCTAATATATATAAAAACTAGGAAGTAAGGGTAAAAGGAAACTAGAATAATAACTTAGACCTTAGTTATAATTAAGAAGTAGAAAGGTATTAGAGAAATCTTTTAATTATCCTTATAACACTCTAAGTAAGTGCCCTACTACTAAAGTTTTATTATATAGCTAATAATTAGGTAGTAGTATTTATACTATTACTATCTATAACTAACCCCTCTCTAGCCCCCCCTAAACTATTGTTTATATTATTCTAACGCCTCTACGTCTCTTAGCAACAGCGGTGACGCTTACGCGCGTTATAGGTAGGGGATAACTTAGTTAACAAGTATAAGCGGTAGCAGTAGCAGTGTTAGGAGGAGAGTAGTGCTTTAATAGCTTACTAACGCGTAGCACCCTAGGCCTAAAAAAAATAAATATTAGAATAGATATAAAGGGAACAAGGGAAAACTAATACTAATAATAAGAGTCTTAATACCTTAGGTAGTGCGCTTAGTAGCGCTCTTAAGCCTATTAATATAAAGGTTAGTTTAGGCCTAGGTCTTATTTATACGCTAGTTAATATACTAGAAGGTAACACTAGTAGTAGCAGTAAGCTATATAATATTATTATTACTATAACTACTACGCGAAGGCGTAATAGTAGACTAAAAAGGAAATACTAGAGTACTAGTAGTAGATAGAATAATAGCACTAAGCTAATACTAATTATAGGTACGTAAGTAAGTAGTAGGGGCAAGTAGAGTAATAGTATTATTAGTTTAAGCCCTTAATATAAGATCCTTAAAATAATAGTAGAGCTAGTAGAACTATAGTATAAACTAGTAATAGGTGCCTTTAGTAGGTTTCCCTATAAAAGTGCTAAGGGTCCCCTTCTTTATAATATAAAGGTAATCCTCCTAGTAACTATAATAAAACTAAAGCTAGTTATAGAGGGCTTAGTAAATATTAGGATTATTAGTAAAGATAGCTTCTAACTAAGTATAAGTCTTATAGCTATAATAGTAGAACTTATATAAGTACCCTAGATATAGTTAGAACTTACTATAAAAAAAATAAAAATTAAGGGGAACTTACTACTACCTTTCTAATAGTTATACTTACTAAAGAGATAAAGCTAGTTAATATACTAATTATAGGGAAGTAGCTTTATAAAGCTACTATTATATTCCTTATTATCTAAGTTACTAGAAATAATAAAGCTACTAAGTAACTAGGTTTAGGGAGATATATACTAAATAAAAAGTTAGTATAGGAAATATAAGGAGAATATTAGAAGTACGCACCTTATCTTAGTAGGCCTAGCGTAGGGTCTAACTACCTTATAGTAGATCTCTACTACTAGTACTAGTAGTAGTAGATAAGGATATAATAAGGGCTAGATAGGCAGGATTAATAGAAAAAGAGTAGAAAGAGGGCTAATTAGTAGGGAAAATCTATTATATAATAAAGTAAGTTTAGGAAATTTATAGTAGGGTAGGATAGCTATATTAGAACTTTTATAGTAGGGTGCTAAAATAAGCGTATAGATACTATACGCGTATACTACTTAATATATAGGCCTATTATAAATTAGGAAGGAATATAAAGATATAATAATAAAACTAAAAAATATAGTAATAAAGCCTAATATAGATTATAGAGGATAAAGATATAACCCTAGACCCCTAGAAAGATAATTTTATAATAGTTTATAGGGGAAGGTTAGGGGTATATAAAGGACTTAGGCTTATACCTAAGCCTAGGTCTAATATAAGATAGACTAAGTCTAACACTACTACTAAGCAAACACACTAGACACCTATAAAAAGGCGTGGAGGGCTTATCTCTCCTTTAAGATACTAAATACTATTATTAACGCTTATTGTATTCTCCCTTAAGGCTAGTCTATAATACTAAGGCGTTAGTAATATTAGAGCCCTGAGGGAACTATTTATAATAACTATAGCAAGTCTCCTTTAGTAGGAGTTAAAGTAGTTAGGCTAGAGGTAGAGAACGTAGAGCTACTATATAAGCTATACTAGCTTAATTAAGGAGTCTCTTTATAAATATATACGCCCCTATAGGCAAGATAGGTAGCTATTTTAATATTGTAGTCTACCTAATACCTTAATAACAAAGGGTAATAATAGTAGAGCGCGTCTTACGCGAATACTTAATACTATAAGGCATCTTAAGCTTAAATACCGCGGCTAAAATTAATAGATTGTGTGGTTAAGGATGCTTTGTTTCGCCACAGTGGGTCCAATCACATGACTCACAAACTAGGCGAGATAATGAGTATAATCGAGGCAGCATTGGATGGGGAAGTGGGTGTAGGGTGGTAGGATCATGTTAATTATAACATTTCATTGGCTGTCGTTCTAATTCCAGGAATTTAAAGAGATGCTTGAGCTATTAGGCACAGCTGGAGTCTTAACCCCAAATTTCTGGGTCTAGATGCTCGAGACAAAAGAATCATGATTGTTCTTCTGAATCTATTAAACCCTATTGGTTGATTATGCAATTTATATAACGCATTTTCTAAATCGCCAGATTTTCTTAACAGATCAGGAGCTTTGTGGATCAGATAATGCAAAGGCAACAGTTAGTAGCCACAACAACAGCGTCTCCATCACTGATGAAATTAGAAGTATAGGTTACCATGATATTAGATCAAGATCAGAAGGTACGAAAATTGCTAAAAAGCCGTGTTTTCTTATCTCCCGATAAAAGCAAAGGCGTCATGCCATTGCGATATCAAAGATGTCACATCCAAAACCCCCAGCACCGGCCCCTTTGACACCGGATTCGCCTGCCAAAACACCCATCCCTTTATGCGCATGTCGTGACACCGAAAGTATCGACTCGTTCAACGTATACCACAAACGCCAAAGACAGTAATCCCAAAAAAGACAATAACGAGATAGGATAGGATAGCGGCAGGCCAAATGTAGTACAAGGACCAATGAATGAGATACCAGAAAATAAAAGAGTGTCAAGTGTGATCTGAAGGAAACGTGGGCAGTTGTGATTGGTAATTGTAATTGGTGAAAAGTACCGAGAGAGGACGAGTGAACAGGGTATATAACTATCAAGAGTACAACTGGGATCGGTAGACTCTGTGGGTTGTTGATGTTACACAAATGCGTGGTTTCGAGGTGCTGTTGCGAGTCCAGCATGGCTTGATGCTCGGAAGAATTGTGCCTAAATGCTGTTGCATTTGCTGGGTTTCTTGCAGATGCATCTGCACGTTCCTGCAGGATTCCTCGTGGCCTGCAGTTTTGAAACCTAGTGGGATACGACAGGTGCGAATATGAACTAGGGTCGGGAGTTTGGATAATTTGTTTTTGTTGAGTTTTTCTGTTTTCGAGAGCGACGAAGAGGAAGCCGAGATACCGCAAAATAGGGAGAGCCGAGCGGTAATGTTAGGTCGGAGATTGCTAGTAGAAGACTTTGATAACGTCCTCATCCGTTGGTTTTTTCGAAAGCTGCCAGAGAGCTTTGGCTTTTTCAACATGTCCGCATCTTTCGTCAAAGCCTTCTCCGAGTCTCATCACACAGCTAAATGCGACATTCCATCCATTCACTCCAGCAGCGTAGAAGGCTTCCGCTACAGCCGCTTCACGGCTTCCACACTTGATCAGCTTGTAGATTTGCTTTCCATTGAAGTGTGCGCCGTGGATGAATGTGTCGCTTGCCTGGCATGTACTCAAAATCAGGTAGTACACAAGCGGGGTGTTCTTCAGTGCTTCTGACTTCTCGTCCCGACACGCATCACACGCCCCAGAGTAGTTACTCTTAATAGAATGGTTGGCAGTACAAGCCATGTCATCGTCTATAGGGGTAACAAGAGCAGATGACGCCCATACCCTAGGGTTCTCATGACTGACCGGTCTTGCGTTCGGAAGAACACCCAGCTGCTCATTAGGATGACGAGAGTGCACGGAATACCCGAGATTCTGAAGCACGGATTTCGATGGTCTCTCGTACCACTGTTCTGGGCTCCCATACTTCAAAATCCAGCGGTATTCCTCGAAATCTGCCATGTGGGCATGATGGCAGTTGACGATAACGTTACGTCTGAACGGTGCAATGTGGACTATGCGGCTCGAAACTTCGAGTCTTGGTCTATTGTAGTAATGAGCTGGGAGGAACGACGTTGGTGTTGATATCTCATCTTCTGTATCAAATCGCAGGACCGGAAGCCCTGTACCCACAGCTGGAGGCGGTGGAGGCGGTGGTGGCGGTGGTGGCGGTGGTGGCTTCATGTTTTGTTAGTTTTTTGAAATCCCTGGAGGAATAACTCACTGGTGATGGCAGCAGATTACTTGTATTCCGGAAGCGGAAAATCCGGGGACATTGAGTGGGAGGAGGTGGCGGCGGTGGTGGCGGCGGAGGGGGAGGAGGAGGAGGAGGTGGTGGTGGTGGCTATAAAACTTGCTTAGAGTTCATCTTCAAATACAGTCAGATGATGACATACAGGAGGAGGCGGAGGCTGCCGCGTAATAGTCAGCATTTGCCTATAAGGATAGATGAGTTAGACATACCGGCGGAGAATACGGGGCCCCACTTCCTTCCGTGCCCGAGCAGTGGCCCCTAAAATCGGATGGTACAAAGATGTGTGTCCGGGAATGGCCGAATTCTCCTCCCGATTCCAAGAAATCATGGCCCATGATCTTCTGTCTCAGTTGTAGTCTTAGGAGATCATTACGATCGGAGCTCCGAGACTGATCGTTGCGTGGGGTTGCGTTGATATTGCCAGGAGGAGCAAAGTCGCTGGATCTCTGCCGCTTGGCTTCCGTAGACAGTTGTGGAATTGCACAAGCTATCTCGATATCTTGATCAGGTTCCTTCACCCTGGTATCCGCAATGGTTGTAAACAGACTATCCTCGATAAAGACCATGTCTTCGGAATCCATGGCTATGGTTGGGTTGCCTTGTAGTGAAATCAAAATGAGAAAGACCGCT